CATGCGAAAACCCCCATGAAACTTATGAAATAAATTATAATTAATTGGAACATGCCCCGCCTCAAAGCATGATCCTTAGTTTAGTTGTCGTATGTATTTCAGACACAAATAAGTTAAAAGTATTTTCTGCACGTAATTGGAAATTGACAAGCCTTGATGTTAAAAATATAAACTTCATGAAACTGCAATCAAAATTGTTGCAAATGCTGCATGTGTGGTTCATGTTTCTAGAATAAGCTTCAGTTTTAGGAATTAAAGTTTAACAGTAGAAAATGAGCCAAATGCAGCTAAGGCCTATGAGAATCCATTACTTTGAAAAGTTATGTTACTTTAAGAGTAGAGAGATAGTATCAGAAACAGTCGGGTGGCTTGCAGTGTTGGAGCTGTGGTGCTGAAGCATGTATGTTGCAGATTAAGTGTGATATGGTCCATGTAAGTTTGCTCTGGTCAGCTTCGGTCCTTGTGACAGTTTGCAGACCATCCAGAGAGTGTACAACTGGAGAGAGAGCATACCTCTAGATGTCATGTTATTCATTGGCAATGACATCAGACACAGTGGAGGAAGGACCACACTCTCTCCTACAATGAAATGAGTTTTCACAATCTGGACCACTGCCATGGGACAATTCTACTGGGATATTCACGGATCCAGCAGGATGTCTGGTAGCAACTGGCTGTGGAAGGGCAAATAGTTTGGGGTAGCCAGGTGGCTCGGTGGTTAGCACTGCTGCCTCACAGCATCAGGTACGCGGTTCAATTCCAGCCTGTCTGTGTGGGGTTTGCTCATTCTCCTCGTGTCTGCGTGGGTTTCCTCCAGATATTTCGGTTTCCTCCCACAGTGTCCAGCGATGTGCAGGCTCATTGGATTGGCCATAAGAAATGCAGGGCTCCAGGGATAGGATAGGAGAGTGGGCTGGGGCTGGATGGGATGCTCTTCAGGGGTTCGTGTGGAACCATTGGGTTGAATGGCCTGCTTCCACACTGTAGGGATTCTGTAATTCTAGTTACTTAGGTCATGCTAGAGCATTCTCTGCTACTCAGTTTGTAAGAGAACTGCACCCCACATGCTGTATATAGTGTGAGTATGTTGCTTTGTTTCCTCTCAGCATGGTCTGTGACAACCCAGGAATGATGTCCTGGATGGAAAAGGGTCATGTATTTAGTCAATGAAGGTGCAGATTGTGCCATTTGGAAGCTTGTGCTGAGAGAATCTTTCATTCAGTTCTCTCATTGTGCAGATGATTGATGGTAACAGTGTTGAAGTGGGCTGTCTTAAAGTTGCAATGAGTGAGGACCCTAAAAAGTACCTTGTCAGCTCCAACGGAATATCTCAAGCCACTGCCTTCTCCAGTGAGGAGCAGACTGATGGGGTGTCCACACAGCGTAAGCTAGACTGCAAGGTGTCAGCAAACAACACCATTCCAGGCAATTTCTAGTCTTCAAGCAGAAGACCCTCTTGGAACAATTCGGTGAAAGCCACATGTGGTAGATGTTAATAAATGTTTCTTACCACCACAGCTGCTGCAGTCAACCATGCCCCAATCCAGAAACATCGTAAACAAAATGCCATGTCAATTCCTCAATTGTGTATGCCTATGGTGGATTGAATAGATGCACAATTATCTTTGTGGAGTGTAATTTTACAATTCATTCACATGGTATGGAAGTCTCAGCCTGGGCCAGTAATTATTACTCATCACTAATTGCTGTGGAGAAAGTAGTGGTGATCTGTCTTCTTGAACTGCTGCCATCCTTGTCATATTGTTTAGTGACGTTAGGGCATGAGTTACAGATATTTGACCCTGTGCCACTGAAGGAACGCTGATATCATTTCAAGCCAGGATAGTGAGTGGCTTGGAGGGGAATTTGTAGGTTGTGGTGTTCCAATGTATCTGTTGCACTGGGCCATTGTAAAGTTCTCCTTTGGAATTTGGTAAAAGGCATTGGTCAGTGCTACTGCAATGATGTGTCTCCACTGGGAAATCAACTGATGTGAGTGAAGGTTGTGATTTGTTGAAGTACTCAACATCGGCAAATGGTGAGACAAGTCAAATACCCCCTTTAACCTCTTGACAAGAAATGATTGGTCTAATTTCTCCACCGTGATGCCCATGTCTTCAGGCTGAACAAAGCCTTAAATATCATCAAAGGTTTATTGCAAAATCTACAGGTTGCTCTCTGCCATGCTCGGGAAGGTGACGTGTGTGTTGTGGATGTTCACCATTCCCACGTTGACGTGAGCCTGGGAATGTTGGATTGAAGATACCATCATCCTCCTGAAGGAGGTTATTGAGCTGAGATTGTGTGAGTTGAGGCAGTGCGTTCCAGGCTGATTGGGATTCTCTTTGCTTTGCTTGGTAAGGAGCTGGGATACACTGTTCTGAAAGAACAAAGAATCCTGGCCACTGGAGATAAACATAGGTCATAACTGAGCAAAATACTCATTGTGAAACAGGACGAGCAGTTCGCAGAATTATTCACGATGGAAATCTTGTCAGCAATGCTGGGCAAAATATACGATGGAGCCCACATGTGGAGTGGCTTGTTAATCTTTGATCCTAAATGTGGACGACAGGGGAGTTGAACTGAAAATATTTAATAGTCCACATGGTCGTCAGGAAGGGCCAACTCGATGAAGTCTCTTGTTCAGATGTGCTGAAGGTAGCAGGCTGTTGAGATGTATTAACACAGATGGTGAACTACCATCTGGTGGTTGGCATTTGTCTGATGCAACAATCAAATTGTTAGATGAAAAATTGTCTGCCAATCCTAGAAGGTGAAAGTGAGACCACAGAGCGCCATGGTATCAGCAATGAAAAATGGTCATTCCCACATTGGAACTGAGCTAGCAGCTACCTGAGCATGTTCATATATAATGGATGACTTGAGAAGAGTAGGATCAAGCAATGAGTCTACAAGGAGTGGTCAGTTTTTGAGCATTGGGAAGGATAGTAGGAAGCTGGGGCTATTGTCCTGGAGGCCATAGAGAGAACTCCAAAGGAGATCAAGTCAGACATGGACTAGAAAACAAAATAGATGCTGTAACCTTTTGCATGTGTAAATATTTGAAGAAGCACTGTAACCAGAGTGACATTTCGCAAAATGGCTCTGATTTTATTTGATTTACTTCAATGGATGGAGTAATTTACCAATTGCAGTGAATGGATATTTGATTGCATTCTTCAGTTGCTCTCTGAATTTAGTCTGGGTCACTACATAAGTACAGGTGTTGGTGCAGGTACTCAAAAGCTGCAGCATGTAGCCAGATTGTTCAGTGATATAGGCAGGATCATGAGGACCTGTGTAATCATAAGTGTTTGAAATATGTCCATAAAGGAAAAATGCAACATTTGTCATCCATAATAGAATAAAACTACCTGATATGGTGAAGAGTAAAATGATGGATTTTCTGCGGCTCTCCATTTCTTGGTCAGTGTGATTCTCACTCTTGCTGTGATCCAGTAGCTTCCTGCGGATTCTGCTGGTCATTAAAATGTGTCTGACAGTCAGAGCATTGAGCAGTACAATCAGAATGAATGGAAGGAAAGGAGTTAACATAATACTGAGACTATGAAATGTAATCCACATAGTTTCAGTGTAAAATCTCCGAGATGGGATGCCTCCCCAGGGCACATTGTCAATTATGTATTCAGGTTCATAGACAAAGTACCAAGGAATGTTTTTCAGACAAAACAGCACACTCACTGTTTTTATAACTACACCTGCAGTTCTCTCTGTGCAATATTTTGTTTTCATCTTCTGACAACATATTACAACAAGTCTATCAAAAGTGAAGGAGACAGTGAACCAGACAGAAACGTCAGTGGCTGCATAAAGCAGGACATGTAAGATAGAGCGCGCAGGAGTGGTCTCCAGGTAAGTTCCTGGAAAATGAATTGGAATAACTGTAAACAGTATCACATCAGTGAAAATGACCAGTAGATCTGCCACTGCCATGGCCACCAAGTAGTGGGTGATACACCTGGAGAGTCCACATTTCCGTTGTGACAAGATCAGAATAGCCACTGAGTTAACTGTAAAACATACAAGGGATAAAAAGGGAATTATAAATTGTAATCTCACAAAAATATGAATTACATCAGTTCACAAGCATTTTAGAATAGGTGTACATCGTTCAACAACAAAAACTTGTTCTGTCATTCAATTGAATTCTGGCTAATTATTATTTTGAGTTTATTTATATGCCTTGGCTCTGTTTTGAGCAAATGTTGCCACTTTCACATTGAAATACTGGTCTGAGTACCTTGATTTGTGAGTGTCCTTGAGGTTGCTTGATCCCTATTTCTAAGCAAGGCACTTCAACTCCTTATATTCTGTAACACTTTTTGTTAGAAAACACCTGTACATAGTAGGTTATTGAGTACAGCTCTCTTGCACAGTGTCCAACCTATCTCCTTTCAGATGCTCATTCTAGACCGGTCTGTTACTGTTGTCAGAGTCATGTGTTCAGCTATATCATCATCACATACATGGACCTCATGGTAGATACTTTTAATGGAACAGTTTAGAGAAGTTAGGACACATATCTGGGAAGATGTAACTTCGACTTTGTGGCCCAGAGGGAGGATCTCTGCCATGAACCTCCGTGTACCATACAATATACCTACAATGTAAGGCCCTGACAATGATCTTTCAATCTCAATTTTGAAAGTATGCGTTGTCTGAGCTTAAATGTATTTTTCTTGCAGAGGGTGTTCTCGATTTTCTCACAGATTAGTGGATGGGAGGTGATAAATCGGCTCCCCAAAGCTAAAGGACATGCAGTTCAAAACATTCTTAGGGGTAAGACGGTGGCAGAGTGGGTTGCTCCAGCTGAAGTTTGTCCATTCCACCCATTCTTTTTCTTTTTCTCCCTCTTTTCCTCCCTTCTCTCGACCACGGACACTCAACACCCAGCTTCTGAAGTGAGGTCGGTGGTTGGCGGCCCAAAGTGGGGATGCCAGTGACCAGTGGCCTGGTGCAAAGTGGGAGCAGCTGCCCAGTGTGCAGCATTCGTGGTAGAGGCCTAGTGAGGAGTGTGGCAGCGGCCAACAGTATGACTACGTGGCAGCCCCATGCGCTGGTCTGCTGTTTGTCTTTTTAACCTGCTTCATGTTTTTCTGACCTCTGGTTACATGGTGTATAGCTGTAAGGTAACTTTATTTTTCTTCATTTCTCTATTTTGTAACTAACGATTGTATCTAGACACTCTGTACCGAAGATGGTGCCGTGTGTCGGTGACATTGTTCCACTGTGACTAATCTTGTAACTGAAAAAGCTGTACCTGAGTACTTTTCTGCATAAGATGACGCTGTAAGTGGTGATTTATAAACTTTTCACCGTACATGTGACAATAAAGCTCATTCATACACACATAGAGTCCTTGAAGATTTAGCCTTAATTTGAACCCGCGGTTGTTTGATTGATTGCCTGTATCATCTGCAGGTCTCTTTGATTTCTCCATTTTTCACTGAATGTTGCCTTCTAAGAGGTCAAGAGAGAAACAGAGACAAAGAGAGAGAGAGAGCACACCTTCCAGTTCTGCTGTTGGAATCGATCAGATTTCTGTCTGCTCTGTGTGAAATACCGTTCAGATGTCTATTGCAACATCTGGCTCCAAACAGGGATCATTTGCTGGCAAATTTCATTCCATTTTGTGAAACTTCCAGAAAGGTGTATAAAGAACAATGACAGAGCTCTGAGTGACTATTTCAGTCCATTAGAAAATACGTCAATTTGAGTTCAGACAGGGTCTTCTTTATTGATTTAACTAAATTAACATATGATCATTTGATCACTGCAGCCATTTTAAGTCTTTTCTTTCTTTGAAGACCATTTCAGTTCAAGAATATGAATTTAAAATTCCAGTATTATAACCACATGCTATTATAATGCTTCCACACCATGAGGAACAACATTTCATGTTCTGTTGATGGTGAAAGTTCTGTTCCAAGGTAAATATAAAATATGAAAAACCAACACAAAAATTGGGATGAAGCACCCACACGTTCCACATTCACTCGTTTCATCCTTACCTTGTGTCAAAAGTTGCTATATGAAGGGCAGTCAGGCTGATTTCCTCAGCCATATCATCTTTCCGAGTTTTAACCCATTGCTGCCCAGTTCTATAATTCACGTTTATAGTTCATAGAATCATAGAATGCAGAAGGTGTCCTTTGGCCCATCAAGTCTGCACTTGATCCCTCTTTCCAGCACTTAACCCATAGCCTTGAATGTTATGACATTTTAATTGTTCATTCAAATACTTTTTAAAGGTTGTGAGGTTTCCCACTTCAAATATCCACCCAGGTAGTATATTCCAGATTTCCACAACCCTCTGGGTGAAAAAACATTTTTCCTCAAATCTCCTCTCAACCTCTTGCCTTTCACTTTAAAATTTTGCCACCTTTTACTGACCCTTGAAATGAAAGGAAACAGCTACTTTCTATTCACCCTGTTCTCACCCATCATAATCTGTACTCCTAGCTCTGGTCCTCTCTCAGCCCTCTCTGCTCTAATACCTAGGCCTTATCTGGTCTGTTTAAGTATCCTGGCATCACCTAGTCTGTGTAAATTTCCAGACGCCAGACTCCCTGGGGTTAAGGAGCTCTGTGTTTTGTCAGAACTATTAGCCAAGTTGGCTACCAGTTTATTTCAAGCCTTGGCTATGACGCTGCAATCATTCCTGGTCATAGATTCACACCAACAATTGATATTGGAACTAAACATTTATTATGGAATTGTCATATATGTGAACAGTTACATTTTGTTGTTGGTTAGTTCAACAATTGAATTATTCAGAATGATTTATTAAGAAAGCCAGAATAAAATCAGAATAAATAGGAGGAATGGAGTCAACATAGTGCTGAGGAAGTCAAATGCTACCCGAGCATCTGTGGTGTGTAGACTAGCACCCCAGGACACATTGTCAATGACATATTCAGGTTCATATGCAAAGTACCAAGGAATATTTTTCAAACTGAATGGGACACTTACTATTATTATAATGATAACTGCTGTTTTCTCTGTGCAATATTGTATTTTTAACTTCTTGCAACAGATTGTAACAAAACGATCGATGGTGAAATTGACAGTGAACCAGACAGAAATGCCTGTGGCTGTAGAAACTAGTGCAAGCAAGACAGAATAAGCAGGTGTGGTTTCCAGATAAGTACTTGGGAAATGGAAAAGAATAATTGTAAACAGTATCACATCAGTCCAAATGACCAGCACATCTGCCACTGCCATGGCCACCAGGTAGAGTGTGATACATTTAGAGAGTCCACACTTTCCTTGTGTCAGAATCAGAACAGACACTAAATTGACTGGAATAGATTGAGAAAAAAAAATGATTCAGCTTGTCAGTATTTTCAGGATTGTCAAAATCCTGAAATGTAGAAACTTTAAGCAAGAAAAGGAAAGAAAGACTTGCAGCCTTATTGCATATTTAGAGATGTTTTCTTCCTTATGACTTTCTAAGTTAGTGTGACCAAGTCTGGAAGGGTTGCCTTGTTACCATTAGCAGAATCCCATAGTCGCTTACAAAGCCACATTTCCAGGGATGCAGGACAATAAACACCATTTCTTCTCATTTGACCCTCTATAATTATCAGGCGAATCACAGTTCACATTAAACTGTTGGCATGATTTCCAAGAAAACACCATGGCTCATGTCAAACTCTTGAGAAGAAACACATTTTTTAATCCAGAATGTGTTCAAACAGGACACAATATCTTCTAGTTCTCCTCAGATCCCATTATATAAAAATGACAATGAAGGTTTCATGATTTCAAGGCAATGGAATCATTTACCAATGTGTTATCATCTTGTTTCAGAGATGCATTGGGAAAATCCATTGTTACTTTATATGAAATGCAGCCATGAAACAGTTCCTAACAAATAGCAGCGTACTTGGTTGTGGGTAAGAGTAGATCAGGGAAGAATGTTCATTGAAACAGGTTAGAATTTAAAGAACAAATTCAGATTATGTTACAATAATAAATTTGAAAGACTGAGAAAGAGCAGGAAGGTGAGACGATGGAAGAAGGGAGTTGATGATTGGGGAGCACTGGGTTTAAAACTGGACAAGTTGAAGAGATGTCGTCCGTGTGGACCAGGTATTAAAATCTGTGATCACCAACTTAAGTTTATAAACAGAACTTTTAAGAAAGGAAAACAAATTTCAAAATAATATGGTTAAATTTACGTGTGAAGATTTCTTCACTGCCAATAAATGGTTAATCAGCTTACCAAAACTGCCAAGAACAGCAAGAACAGGGTAGTAAATATCTTCGATCTGATGAAGTAGTGTTGGTTCACGCATTTTCTGAGTTCTGCTGATGCAAGAGACTCCACCTGATTCTAAGATCCATTGAGAGCAATCACATATTTATAAAGATGGGAGTGCATCTGTGAGATGTCAGTTACATCATTACTCATATTAGTTACAGTTAACTGAACAAACAAGTGAAGACATTCATCTGAAAGCTCACTTCCTCATCACAGAAGAGAAAAAATGTCACCTGGAGTTTACACTCTCTGAGCAAGATATTGAATCAGAAGGAGTTTTTTTGTGATATTGAGTGGAGTTTGCGCATTAGAAGTTATTCAAGTTGAAATATTTTTCTATCTATTTCCTTCAAGTTTTCGAAACTATGAATTTGCTTGTAATAAAAATGCCATAATAATAAATAATAACTATGGCATTTGGGATAATTCCTAAACCGATGTTTGAGTTGGTTTATTGACCGAATCTCATAAACTTGCACGAGGAGAAATGCGAGTTGACAATGACCCAACCCAGAGAAATGGGGAAGCAAAGGGGTGATCAGATTCTTCACGATAATTCCATAGAACATCATCCAAATGGGATCTTTCTGAATAGCCGTCAGTTCAAGTTATAGAATTCCTACAGCAAGGAAGCAGGCCATTCAGCCCAACGAGTCCACATTGACCATCTGAAGATCATCCTGTCCAGAGCCATTCCCTTTACCCATCCCTGTAATCCTGCATTTCCCATGACTAGCCCACCTAGCCTGTGCACCCCTGTACACTATGGGCAATTTAGCATGGCCCATCCACCCAACCTTCACAGCTTTGGACTGAGGAAACCGGAGCACTTGGAGGAAACCCACTGGGAGAATGTGCAAACTCCACACAGACAGTCTCTCAAAGCTGGAATTGAACCTGTGTCCCTGGCGCTGTGAGCCACCATTCTGCCCTTGAGGTTCCTAGGTAAGGTTGTGTCCATTGTGTCACACAGCAATTTCTCTGACAACCATAATTAAGTCTTACTGTGTGGAGTCACAAAACTGCATAGTTTGCTCTTGTCTGACAAATATGAACAAAATCCCATTCTGGATCTTGTAACTAAAGGATGCCTTTAAACTTCATTGACTCAGTGGTGTTTTCTGACCAGCAACAGGCAGTTTTACTGTGGTAACCTAGTCTGTGCAACTAACAGGAGCCATTGTCTGTAGGTGGCTGACCAATTCACGACGGTAAGAGTACCATCTACCAGATAGGACTGGAGGGTGCCTACTTAGTATATGATACCATCCTTGCTGTGTAGAGTCCCAGAAAAAAATCGCACTTTTGGCTATATAGAGGACCACCCCATTACCAGAAGAGTATACGGAGGCGACGAGGGAACTAACCTCAAGTGGACCTCTACAGGTGACCCTCTAAGACAAAGATGATGAGAATTGTTTTCTCTCAGAGGGTCTTAATTCACCAGAGAGTTAGATATATTTTTCATGGACAGGAGAGTGAAGTGTTATGGGGGCAGATAGGAAAAGGGATTTGAGACCATCACCAGATAATTCATGATATTAATGAATGGTGGTGCAGCCTCAAAGAGCAGAATGGCCAACTTCTGCTCCTATATCCAACATTCCCAACTGCACCTCATTCAAGACAGATACAATGACAGGTAACCTGTGCCTATGATGATAATGGGACTGTGTCTGGGATGAGATAAAATGTCCTCCAGATAAACTTTGGGAAGAGCAAATCTTTTTCCCAAAATCTCCATTCTCAACCCTGGTCCCTCATATTCCCTGTTCCCACCTCCGCCACCCTATCTGAATTATGCCACTAATCCCTTACCTTTTTCACCAACAGGGTATTTGCTTTCCGCTCTGGGGAACCTCATGCCTTGTCTCTTGCCTCAACCTGCTGTCTACTGAAACTTTCTCCATGGCTTTGTCCATTCGAATCTTGTATATTCTAGTGCTTCACAGCTTATACCCTGACACTTCACCCCTTACCCTTCATTCTTCTCACTCCTATCCTGCTAATTTACATAAGCCTCTGGTCCAACAATGCTTCAAACTGAAACTAGTCATCCTCATGCTCTTAGTAGCTTTAATATACCCATCTCTGGCTCCTCATACCTTATACTTCAGCCCAAAATTCCCATTTGCTCTGACTTGGGTCTTTTGTGACCCCAACTTTTGACACATCTTTTGCAGCTGAGCCATCGTTCACCTACACTGAAGGCAGAAGAATTTCCTTCCTCAACCTCTTGCTCTTTATGCCACCATCTCCATTTTAAACACCTTTTCTGAAAATCCACCTCTGACCTAATCCTTTGGTTGCCTGTCTGAATATTTCCTCTTTGAACTCAGTGCCTGGGATGAGGGGCCTTGGAACCAGTAGAGGTTTAGAAGCTCAAATGACCATTGACGTAAACCATGCATAATTTTTATAGGGAACAGCTCAGAAGATGCTGAGGCAGACGTGCCTCATATTTTATGTGTTTTCATTACCCCCACCTCTGAAAACAGTATAAAGTCCAGACCAGGATTTAAACACAAACCCAAGGCTGACACTTCTCCGCAACACACTCAAGCAACAAAAATTAAAACAGGATCGACACTCATTAACTGATGGTTGTCTGTAAGACCTTGCTGAGTACAAAGTGACTCTGTTATATTCTACAGTCCAACACTGACTATATCTCAAATGTACTTTGAGGATGAAGAAGGATTTCAGGATATCCTGAGGTTATGCTATGTGACATATTAATGCAAATTCTCTCTTTTCCTTTGTAGCTGCTGTACAAGCTCCTGTGGTTAAGCTAGCAGGTGCCCAGTCCTTACAGCCCATGACAGTATGGGGAAAACAAAATGTCAGAACAGCAGGAGCTAAACAGAATTGGAACTGCAATGGGCAGCAGTAAAGAGTAATCTTGTACTGCGAGAGAGAGAAGTGATTATTCTCAAAGGAGCAACGTTTTGGAGATGGTGTTTTTTCAATTCCACCAGATGGCAGCAGCAGAACATACATATCCCTGAAGATCATGCACTGCATCAACTGAAGTTCGTCTAATCTCTGCTACAACATTAAACAACTCCTTGTTTGCTACCTGTTTTGCTGCTGTATAACTTTCGAATTGGAAGTCAACAATCTGTGTTCTATTCTAGATGTGAGGATTGGCATATTTTTGAAATATAAACAAATACAAAGATCCCTGTTATAACAAGGTGCAGAGCTGGATGAACACAGCAGGCCAAGCAGCATCATAGGAGCAGGAAGGCTACGTTTTGGGCCGAGACCCTTCATCAGAAATGGGGGAGGGGAAGGGGGTTCTGAAATAAATAGGGAGAGAGGTAAATAAATAGGGAGAAATAGAAAGATGGATAGAGAAGAAGATAGGTGGAGAGGAAACAGACAGGTCAAAGAGGCGGGGATGGAGCCAGTAAAGGTGAGTGTAGGTGGGGAGGTAGGGAGGAGATAGGTCAGTCCAGGGAGGATGGACAGGTCAAGGGGGCGGGATGAGGTTAGTAGGTAGGAAATGGGGGTGCGGCTTGAGGTGGGAGGAGGGGATAGTTGGGAGGAAGAACAGGTTAGGGAGGCATGGACGAGCTGGGCTGGTTTTGGGATGTGTAGTGGGAGGGGAGATTTTGAAGCTTGTGAAATCCACATTGATACCATTGGGCTGCAGGGTTCCCAAGCGGAATATGAGTTGCTGTTCCTGCAACCTTCGGGTGGCATCATTGTGGCACTGCAGGAGGCCCAGGATGGACATGTTGTCTGAGGAATGGGAGGGGGAGTTGAAATGGTTCGCGACTGGGAGGTGCAGTTACTTATTGCGAACCGAGCGTAGGTGTTCTGCAAAGCGGTCCCCAAGCCTCCGCTTGGTTTCCCCGATGTAGAGGAGGCCACACCGGGTACAGCGGATGCAGTATACCACATTAGCAGATGTGCAAGTGAACATCTGCTAATGTGGAAAGTCTTCTTGGGACCTGGGATGGGGGTGAGGGAGGAGGTATGGGGGAAGGTGTAGCACTTCCTGCGGTTGCAGGGAAAAGTGCTGGGTGTGATGGGGCTGGAGGGGAATGTGGAGCGGACAAGGGAGTCACGGAGAGGGTGGTCCCTCCGGAAAGCAGATAAGGGTGGGGAGGGAAAGATGTCTTTGGTAGTGGGGTCGGATTGCAGATGGCGGAAGTGTTGGAGGATGATGCATTGGATCTGGAGGTTGGTGGGGTGGTACGTGAGGACGAGGGGGATTCTTTTTTGGTTGTTATTACGGGGACAGGGTGTGAGGGATGAGTTGCAGGAAATGCGGGAGACACGGTGGAGGGCGTTCTCAACCACTGAGGGGGGGAAGTCCTACTATCTCTGATACAAAGATCCCTGCTTGTCCATGCCATTCAGCCAATTTACTAATG